ATGGCTCAACCGGCACCGGCTCCTGCTGTGCCTCTGGCACCAAATAGCCGCAAGCGAAGAGGCGCAGCAGCTGAAATTCCAGCCGTTGCAGCCCCAACCCCGCTATCAGAGCTGCGCACCGATGGCGACGAGTGGCAGGTGGCCGGGCAGACGAGAAGGAGCGCCAAAGAGGCGAGGAAGCGCCGCAAGAAGGAGCAGCGGCAGCGGCGGCAGCAGCGACGCAAAGAGAAGCGCGCTGCGGCAATGCTCCTCACCCCTAAACCCTCGGCTGTAGTTATCACGCTACAGCCGGACGCGGCTAAGAAGGGGGTGACATACGGCGACGTCCTCGCCAAATTGAAGGGGACGGTTACTCCCGCGGAGTTCGGGGCCCCTAACGGGTTCGCGGTAAGGGTCACCGCGACTGGAGCCCGTCTTCTGGAGGTCCCCGGCGCGGCCAGCGGCCCATCCGCTGACGCCCTTGCCGAGAGGCTCAGGACGTGCCTTGCGGCGGATGAGGCTCGCGTGTCCAGGCCCACCAAATGCTTGGAGCTACGCATCATGGGCCTGGATGACTCCGTGACGGAGAACGAGGTGGCGGCCGCTGTCGCAAGGACGGGGGGGTGCCCTGCTGATCAGGTGAAGGCAGGCACCATCCGCCCGGACAATACGGGGCTGCGGACCGTGGTAGTGAGCTGCCCCGTCACAGCGGCCAAAAAACTGTCGGAGGGCAAAAGGCTCCTGGTGGGCTGGGTTTCGGCGCAGGTGAAGCTGCTGGAACCCCGACCTTTGAGGTGCTTCCGCTGCCTCATTGGTCACCATGTGGGTGCCAAGTGCACCTCAGAGGTGGACCGCAGCGACCGCTGCTTCCGCTGCGGTCAGCCCGGTCACAGGGCCGGCGCTTGTACCGCCCCGCCGCACTGCGTAGTATGTGCGGCGGCTGGCAAGCCGGCCGATCACCGGGCTGGGGGCAAAACCTGCTCCCCCCCCACCAAGCCCAGGAGCAAAGGTAGGCCCTTAGCCACCTCCACCGCTCCCACCGTCGCTCCCGCTGCCGCCGCAGTCGCCAACACCCCTGCGACTGCTGCTGTCGCTGCCGTCAGAGAGGAGGTCGTGATGGATACCCAATAATGGCTCCATTACGCCTCCTCCAGGCGAACATCAACCACTGCGTCGCTGCTCAGGATCTCCTGCTCCAGAGCATGGCGCAGTGGTCGATCAATGTTGCTGTGGTCTCCGAGCCGTACTTCGTTCCAGCCAGGGAACACTGGGTGTCAGACCTGGACGGCTCGGTGACCATCATCTCGTCGGCCGCCGCCGGTACCCCAACCCCCGAAGGGCCTCAGCGAGGCAGGGGTTGCGTCGCGGCTCGGTTCGGAGAGATCGCCGTGGTGGGCGTGTACTTCTCTCCGAACCGAACTCTCGTCGAGTTCCACAACTCCCTCAGGGAGTTAGTCACCGTCGTCGTCGGGTTCCGTCCCCTCCCCGTGTTGGTCCTCGGGGACTTCAATGCCAAGAATTTGGCTTGGGGTTCCCGGCTCACTGATGTCCGGGGAAGGATGGTCGAAGACTGGGCTCTGGAGACAGGCCTAGTCGTGCTGAACCGGGGTTCTGTCCCCACGTGCGTACGGATGCGGGGCGAGTCAGTGGTGGACATTTCGTTTGCCAGCCCCGCTCTGTCATCGCGCGTTGTTGACTGGCGCGTCATGGAGGAGGTGGAGACGTTTTCGGACCACCGGTATATACGGTTCGACGTCTCCGCCGAGTCCGCAGACCCGCCAGTCAGACAGGCCCCGTGTGGCCCGCGTTGGGCGCTTAGGCAACTGGACCGGGAGCTTTTCCTGGAAGCCGCAGTCGTGCAGGCCTGGGTGATACCACCGGTCAGGCCAGCCGACATTAACGAGGAGGCGAGATGGCTCCAGGACGCCATGTCAAGGATGTGCGACGTGGCGATGCCCCGGATCCGACCGTGCCAACGCAAGCGCCAGGTGTATTGGTGGTCGCGGGAATTGGCAGACCTGCGCGGTGAGTGCACCGCAGCGCGACGCCGATACACCAGGCACCGCAGGCTCCGTCTCCGCCCTCTGGACGCTGAAACCAGAGAGGCGGAGCTATACGAGGAGTACAGGGCGGCGAAGGCCTCCCTCAGGGTGGAGATCCGGCGGGCCAAAGATCGGGCCCGCGAGGAGATGTTGGAGACTCTGAACAGAGACCCGTGGGGACGCCCCTACCGGATGGTGCGTGATAAGCTCCGCACCTGGGCGCCCCCACTGACTCAGAGTCTCCGGCCGGAGGTCGTGGACGAAGTGGTTGGGGCGCTATTCCCCCGACCACAGACGGGCTACACGCCTCCGGCTATGCCCCCGCCCCCTGCGGTGCCCAATGCGGGCTACATCGACGACGACGACGAATCCGCTCCGGAAGTGACCGAGGTAGATTTGAGAGTGGCGGTGCGCCGGCTGAGCGGCAAGAATACCGCCCCAGGACCTGACGGGCTGCATGCCAAGGTCTGGGTCCTGGCCTCGGAGGCTCTCAGGCCTCGACTACTTGGTCTGTTCAGCGCATGTTTGGAGAGAGGCCAGTTTCCGCTGTCGTGGAAGACGGGTAAACTGGTCCTCGTGAAGAAGCCGGGGCGTCCTGCGGACTCCCCGTCCGCGTACCGGCCCATTGTGCTGCTCGACGAGGTGGGAAAGCTGTTCGAGAGGATAATCTCAGACCGCCTCGTCGGGCACCTGTCTGGAAGGGGGCCGGATTTAGCGGACGGCCAGTTCGGCTTCCGAAGAGGGCGCTCCACGGTGGACGCCATCATGCGCGTGAGGGACCTCACGACGGGGACAGCGTTGGCCGGGAGGCGAGTCGTCGTGGCGGTGTCTCTGGACATCGCCAACGCCTTTAACTCGCTCCCCTGGAGCTGCATTTTGGAGGCACTCCGGTATCACCGGGTGCCTGCCTATCTCCGTCGTGTAGTCGAGGCTTACTTGACGGACAGATGCGTCATCTACCCCGGTCACCGGGGCGTGTGGAATCGGCGAGAGGTGTCGCGCGGTGTCCCACAGGGATCGGTCCTGGGACCTCTCCTGTGGAACATCGGGTACGATTGGGTGCTACGCACCGACCTCCCGAGCGGCGTCAGCATTGTCTGCTATGCTGATGACACGCTGGTGCTGGCGAACGGGAGGTCGCATCAGGCGGCGGCCGACCTGATGTCACAAGCGGTTGCGACGGTCGTTGCAAGGATCCGGCAGTTGGGACTCGAGGTGGCGCTCCACAAGTCCGAGGCCATGTGCTTCTATGGCCGTCGGAGCGCGCCACCTCCAGGTGGGTCCCAAGTAACGGCAGGAGGAGTTACCATCGGCGTCGAGTCGGCGATGAAGTACCTGGGTCTCGTCCTCGACAGCCGATGGAACTTCACGGAGCATTTTCGTCGTTTGGCCCCTAAGTTGGAACGGTCTGGGGCCGCGCTCAAGCGGCTCCTTCCCAACCTCGGGGGGCCAAACGCCTCCTGCCGGAGGTTGTATACGGGGATTGTGCGATCCATGGCCCTCTACGGTGCCCCTGTGTGGGCGCCGGACTTGAAGCGGCGGCCGGCTCGTACGCTGGTCGCGTCCCAGAGGGTCATGGCTATACGAGTAATCCGCGGGTATCGCACGATCTCCGGGGAGGCGGCGAACCTCCTTGCCGGATCACCGCCGTGGGATCTAGAAGCGAAGGCGCTCGCGCGCGTCTACAGTTTGCGCGCAGACGCGCGTCGCCGGGGCGAAGATCCTCTGCCGCGCCAAATAAGTGCGTGGCGGAATGAGCTCCGGCGAGATCTCACGGCAGAGTGGAGACAACGACTGTCGCAACCGAGGGCCGGGCACGCTACCATAGCAGCGGTAAGACCCCTCTTTGAGGAGTGGCTTGAGAGACGCCACGGCGCCCTCACCTTCCGTCTGACGCAGGTGCTTACCGGGCACGGCAGCTTCGGTAGGTTCCTGTTTCGGATTCAGCGGGAGGAAACGCCCGAGTGTCGTCATTGTGAGGACCACCTAGAGGATACGGTGGAGCATACGGTAGCGGTATGCCCTGCCTGGGCTGAGCACCGCCGTATCCTCAGGGAAGTGATCGGCGGCGGCGACCTCTCGCGCCCGGCCTTAGTCGAGGCCATGGTGCGGAGTGAGAGGAACTGGGACGCCGTCTCCTCCTTTTGTGAAGCAGTCATGCTCGCAAAGAGAGAGGCGGCCCGCGTGAGGGAGCAATCCTCCTCCTCACGCCCCAGCAGCCGCAACTGGCGACACTACGGGCGTCGGGGATCGAGGGACGATCTCCGGCCACCGTAAGTACGGGCCTGCGGTCGGCGAGTAAGGGCAGCTCGCCGCCCGACCAGAACCAGGCCCGAGCGTACGGCGCGTAGCGTTCCGCGCGCGCCTCAAAGAGCCAATAGACCACCACAGACGGGGCCCTAAAGGGCTGATGTTCAGCCGGGGTTGCGGGGTAAGCGCAATGAGGTACCGCGACCTCGGCACAGAGCACGAGAAGGAACAGGGGGGTTTTTAGTCAGTAAGAGTCTGACACTCCCTCCTGCCCGGCCCTGGGCGGGAGAAGTCATTTGATGATTTTCCCCTCACAAAAAAAAAAAAAAAAAAAATCCTCTCGTTTTTTTAAGTAAATAAAATAGTAATTTAAGAACAGATTTTACTTTTGTTGGGCCAGCAAGACCAGAATGTTAGAAACCGTTTTGCCTTGTGAGTGAAGTTACCAGAGGCCCAAACCTTCCTCACCTCCCCCAATCCCCAAATCCCCGAAACCCTAATCCGTAAAAGGCCGACAACGCGCTTGTAACTCTTTTGTTATTGCGGGTGTCCATGGACGGCGCCGATTGCTTACCATCAGGTTATACGTGTCTTAATCAATAAAACCCAAGCGAACGCCGGCGTTCGTACATGTACTGTTCTTCTATTGTGTCTCGAATTACCACAGCTGAAAGGTTAAACAAAGGTCAGAAATTCGTTTTTAAAAAGATGTTTTTCTTCGTGTTACAGGTGGTGGAATGCAAAGAGAAGTCGACAGGAGCTAAGAGGGCCCTCAAGGTGCTGCACGACAACACCAAGGCAAGACGCGAGGTGGAACTGCATTGGAGAGCACGCGGCTGCATACATATTGTCCAGGTAAATGATTTGATTACATATAAGTGCCCCCGAGCGCACGGCGCGTAGCGTTCCGCTCGTCCCTCTGAGCTTAATAGACCACCACAGACGGGGCCCTATTTTCTGAGGTTCAGCTGGGGTTTCGGATAACCACGGTGGAAAGGTTAAGGAATCCTGAAGCTACTTCATCATCGTATAAGTGCACATTGTTAAGCATTGCCTCGTCTCACACGGAGAAGATTTGAGCGATTTCAAATATATTATTAGAAATTATAAGTCCTCAGGGTTCCTCACGATATGTGGATTTTTTTCTTTTAAAAAACGATAGCCCACACTAGAGTTTTGCCGTGAATGCGTTTACAAACATACAATTTCACATACACATTACACTCAGGCCCGAAACAACAATTACTGGATCACACAAAGTGTTTTTCCGTGCGGGAATCGAACCCGCGACACTTCGCACGGCAGCCAGTTGTCCAGCCCACACGCCGACATTGCAGTCGAGCACGCAGTGTTTGAAAGTGATGTCAAAATAATCATAGAAAGTGCATGTAAGTCAGAAAAGTTACATTGGTACTTGCCAAGTTTCGAAACCGCATCCTCATTCATGAGAAGGGTACGCCTTTACCCTTGGGCCACCACTATCTACCAGTGTAGATATCCGTATTTGTTGAGTACCAAAATAATGATACCGTAATTATGATCGCGAAATAATCTTACCAATCTTCCTTAATATTATAAATGCAAAAGTTAAGATGTTTGGATGTTTGTTACTCAATCCCGCCAAAATGACTGGACGGATCTGGATGAAATGGATGAGAAGCGGGCGTCGTAACCTCCGGGCAACCAAGACACAACAAGCTACTTATAACCAGAAAACCAACCAGTATCTTACGTTCGAATCAGGAATCGAAGAAGCCTTTCCCTTAAACCAATAAAGTACCCAACAATATCAAATGCCATCTCAAAATGATTGATCGCCTATTTGATTGATGAAGAGAATTATAGGCAAAACAACATAAAGTTTTCCTTCTTGGAAGTTTAAGTTCATGGAAAATATGAATAAGTATTAGGTAAACAAGCGTCTGGAATGGTCTGGTATTTGGTTTTTATTTCGTTCCTTATTCATAAAGCGTAGCCTTTATATGGCGATTATTAAATAAAATGGCCGTAGTTCGATTTCTTAGACTGCATATGATATAGCTTTTTTTTAAGGAGGCAAAAGTATTAAATTCTTTTTTTTCGCGTTACTGGGTGGGGATCATGGGAGTATTGTTTTTCTATTAAGACGCCGCACCCTCTCTAAATGGTTTCAACTCCTGTAAGCGAGGATGATGACGATGAAAAGAAACACTGAAAGGGAGTGTCAGACTCTTACTGACTAAAAACCACCCCGTCCCTTCTCCTACTCCAGGCTGGCGACATGGTACCTTTTTGTGGTTGACTCGTAAACTATTGCAAATGATAGCTTGCTTAATAATTTGCCAGTGTTTCTTTTAAAACACATCTTTCAATAGTGAGTTACGAACTTCTAGAAAGACTTCCTCCTTAAATCAAGAGAGAGACGCATGACTTAACTGTTGTCGACCTCATCTATACTAATATTATAAAGAGGTAAAATTTGTAAGTTTGTATGTAGGGGGTAATCTTCGGAACCACTGGTTGGATTGCCAAAATTCTTTCACTGATAGATAGCTACAATATTCCTGAGCTGGAGGCTATAAAATATCATGCTACGATCTATAGGAGCCGAGCAGCGAGTGAAATCGCGCGAGCTGTCTTTTTATCTCTAACTAGCTACTCTTTCACGGTTTCACCCGCTGCTCGGCTCCATTTAATCGTAGCATGTTGTTTTATAGCCTATAGCACTCAGAAACATTGTAGCTACCTATCAGTGAAAAAATTTTGGCAATCCGACCAGCAGTTCCAAAGATTACCCCCTACATACAAACTTACAAATTTTACCTCTTTATAATATTAGTATAGAAAACGAAAAACCCTCGAAGAAACGCAAAAAAAAAACAATAAAATTGAAATTTGCTTAGTTTTCATTAACTAGTCATCCATCCGTTTTCAAACCGCAATGGGCGTTGCTTACCATCGATTCATTTAGTTAAACAATGGCTTTAAATAACGTATTGGTCATATAAATGGCCGAATGAAATCATCTATGAATGTCAAATAACTAACTTTTGGACCGCAACTTCGTTCGCTCGAATGAAAAAATCCTGTATTTTAGTCATTACTAGCTTTTGCCCGCGACTTCGTTCGCGTGGAATAGTGACTTTCTGCAGATTTTTGGTATAAAAACTATCCTAAGTCCTTTCTCGAGTTCCAAACTACGTCTGTACCGAATTTCACAGAAATCGGTTCAGTAGTTTAGGCGTAAAGAAAAGACAGGCAGACAGAGTTACTTTCGCATTTATAAAATTAGTTTGGATAGTTAGGATTAAAAACTATAATTTAATTGTAAACTGTCCCACACTTAGGTACAAACTCCTTACACGAAAAAAAATAGTAAAAAACTCCATACACTCAAAAATATAAGTTTAAAAAAACATTAGATGAAAAGAGCTGAACATCTAGCTCAGTGGCGTGCAATTGGGGTAGCCTTTGTCCAGGATTGGACGAAATTAGGCTGAATTTGATGAAAAAAAAAACTATATTCAAAACTAGGATTTTTAAGAGAAAATCCAATTTTTGTTGTCAGGACCCTCTATCAAAAATTGAGCAGCGACCAGTATGCTGTGCCATCAAAATTAACATTCCCTCGTTTTTTTTTTATTGAGGGAAAATCATATTTCTTCTCCCGCCCTGGGTAGAACGAGAGGCAGTTCAGCAGGTCCGTTCCTTGCCCTGTTCCAGGTCAGGGCTGCGGTACATTTTGGGCATTCACCCGCAACATCAGCTGAACATCAGCTCTATTGTGCCTCATCTGTGGTGGTTGGATTATTGGCTCTCTATAAATATAGATTTGGGATTTGGATTACAGTTCGATTTTGACCAGCCACCAAGAGATGGACCATCCTCTTAGTTTTCCTTAACCTAACTGCCAAAAGTCAACTGCGAATAGTTGTGATTACAAAGGTCTTCTTAGTAGGAAGGATTTTTTCATCAATAAGCGTATTCTGATTAATGATAAGGTCCTTATACTTTAAGAATATTGAGATAAATATGTCGTCTGTTGTCGTCCCAAAAAATTAATGTTTAATGGGTATAGAATTAAAACAGGTTCAGTAGTTTCGGAGGGAACAAACGAACAAATTTTTACTGATATATGTACATTATTTGTGTCTTTATTCCCAAAAGGGGCTTGGCAGTCGTGTTAGGTTCGTTCAAGGTTTTGTTTCGTTCAAATGACGTCATGACGATTAGCAAAATAGATTATAAAGGAAACCTTTTGATAATTGTAATAGTTTTGTATTGATGTGCAAAATTAGTGAGGTTGTTACTAGCTTTGGAATTATCATATGAGCTATCCTTTTGTTTGTAGCTTGATGTTATATAGCATACTAGCTAATCCGGCGCGGTTTCACTCGCTGCTCGGCTCCATTTAATCATAGCGTGATGTTTTACAGCCTATAGCACTCAGGAACATTGTAGCTATCTGCCAGGAAACGAATTTTGGCAACCAGGCAGCGGTTCCAAAGATTACTACCTACATACAAACTTACAAACAAACAAACTTACAAACTGCTCCTTGGGTGACCATGGGCAACCTATCCCATAAAAAAATGTTAGCAAAAGTCTAAGTAGGTCAGCAAAGATACCAGATTTATATATTTTTTTTTCTCAATAAGACAGGTTTGTAGTCAGTAGAAGCCTGACACTCCTTCTCTGGGAGAATTCATTTAATGATTTTCCCCCTCAAAAAAAGAAGGTACTTAATATAAAAGAATATCCAAGCCATCTAAGCTAAGCACGCTTAAATCGAAATTCCAAACTCCAAGCCTATTTTTGCTGAAATCAATATCTCATTACGATTATCAAGTATAGCACTAAACCCACTAGTTAAACTGCGCTTTACATGCTAATGGCTCAAGATAAACATTCTCAACTGAGTCCAACGCAATTTGATCTCTGATAAGAGTTGATAAGATAACAATTGCGTATGAAATCTGAAACGTTGTTCTAAATCAACGCGTTTAACAATTAAAGATTAATTGCATTCTTTCTTTTGGATTTACACGAGTTGGTAATCGCAAATTAATCCAAATTAATTTACTTTTAACGTGGTGCCCTTTTTTTCGTCATGGGAAAATTCTCAAATGACTTCTCCCGCCCAGGATAAAACGAGGGAGAGTGTCAGACTCTTACTGACTAAAATAACCCCCCCCCCCACCCCACCCCGTTCCTTCTCCTGCACTGGGCCGAGGCCGCGGTGACACATTGCGCTTACCCGCAACCCCGGCTGAACACCAGCCCTATAGGGCCCCGTCTGTGGTGGTCTATTGGCTCTTTGAGGCGGCCAGAACGCCACGTGGTCGGGCGTCCAGAGATCATCTCTCGTGGTGCCCTGGAGGTCAATTCATGAGCATGAGAGTTCGAAATTAAAGAACTACCAATGTGACTACTCTTCTGGTTATTTAGACACCACATTGAAAGAAAATATCGTGAGGAAAGGAAAGGATCGTATGAGTGAGGTTACCGGAGGCCCAATCCCTCCCCTCTCCCCATCCATTCCCAACCTTTAAATATCCGAAACCCTTATCCAAGGCCGGCAATGCACTTGTAACTCTTTTGGTGTGGCGGGTGGCCTTGGGCGTCGCCGATTGCTTAGAAAATACATCTGCCCGTTTGCTGACCTATCCCAAAACAAAATGATATTTTTTTAAGCAAAACAGTTTATGTTTTCAATGGAAATGCGTTAGATAAATAGATCGGTTTTATTATTTATTATGTTAGTCAGTTAATCAATTTAACTTTGACCTAACATGTGACTATCATTCATTAAACTTATAGTATACTTTGAAGTTTAATACCGACACAGAACATTGAACTATCTTATCTATAATATTATTTATAACGTCATATAATAATGCAACGTCATTTTGTTGATAACTATCTTCCGCCCGCGGCTTCGCTCACGTGGTATGTTGATAAAAAAGCCTATGTCCTATTCCAGAGTGTATCCTATCATCATTATCATCATCATCAGCCTATAAGTGCCCACTGCTGAGCAAAGGCCTCTTCTCACAAGGAGAAGGTTAGAGCATTGACCTCTGAGTGTTTCGGCATTTCTTCTCAGAGTAGTCAGATAGGAAATGCCGGCTTCATCTAGTTTTTCACATATAAATTGACGTGTAAAAGTGCCGTTTTATGGCCTATTTGCAAAAATAAATTGTTGTTTTATTAGGTAATCACCACGCTTGCACAATGCGGGTTGGTGATTTTAAACTTATAATTAGAAATTATAAGTCCAGGTTTCCTCACGATGTTTTCCTTCACCGTATGTCAGTGGTGTCTAGAAAGTAAATATAACTCGGAAAACGTCACATTGGTACTTGCCAGGTTTCGAACCCACACCCTCATGCTTGAGAAGCGGGCTCCTTAACCTCCGGGCCACCACGACAATTTTCATCCAGATCCGTCCAGCTGTTTTGGCTTGATTGATTAACAAACATCCAAACATCGGAACTTTCGCATTTATAATATTATTAAAAAAAGTAAGTTTTGTTGGTAATTCTATAAGAAATAAACTTGTGTTTTTCAGGTTATAGACGTGTATGAGAATTCGTATGGTGGCCGTGGCTGTCTGCTGGTGGTGATGGAGTGTATGGATGGAGGGGAGCTCTTCCAGAGGATACAGGACAACAGAGACGGTGCTTTCACAGAACGACAAGCTGCTGAGGTAAATTATTTACTTAGAACATGTATTACATAGCATAAATAGCGTACTCCTTAACACAATTTCCGACGCTAGCTAATCGGAGTAGGTAAGTTTTTTTTTTATTTATCCACACTCTGTCTCTTTTCTATGTTGTGGGTACAAAGATACACATTACACCCAAACTGTTGATTAAACAACGTCATTCAGGAGCGGGTTACCTAACACATTATACGGCAGCCGATTGCCCAGACACTGCGTCAACTGTCCAGTCAGAATCACTTTTTGTTCTTCATAGAGATAGACAAAGATTACATAAACAAGATTGTATGAACTAAACACTATTCCATCCTCAGTGTTACCCACAGACGGGGTCTAGTGCTGATGTTCAACTGGGGATGCAGGACAAGCGCAATGAGGCACCGCGGCCTCGGCCCTGAGCAGGAGAAGGAAGGCTAGCTTTCAACAATTTTGTCAGCAGTCAGAGCATTTGCTTAATCATTTGACTGCTGACAAAACTTCTAACTTTTCTGTCAACAAAACTTTTCTCAAATAATCAAACCAACTAAATAACGTATCAAAGAATGTTTATGTGACACTGATTTAAAAAGAGTAACCATGGAGTTTTATGCTCGTTCTTCTCCATCGGAATCTACACTTTGGAACGAGCAAATAGCTTCACTAAGAGGACTGACCGACGGACTGACACTTTATATCTTTAAAATTTTGTTTGAGGTTCAAAAATGTATGGGTATAATTGAAATAAATGATTTTGACTTTGACTTTGACGGATATCATTGTCCGACATGGCGTTCTAAGTGTTAAAAGATCTTGATTGCTAACGATGTGATTTCCGGGGCAAGCGTAGTCAGATACCGCGGTAACGAAGTAGTTTTTAGTCAGTACTAGCGGCCCGCCCCTGCTTCGCACGGGTCCAACTATCTCGCTATCAAAGGGTCACTTTTTTCAAATCTTCCCCTCTACTTTTCTAATATTTACTTTGATAAGAACCTTCTCCTGACAATACCAAACACAACAAAAAAAGAATTAGCAAAATTGGTCCAGGCTTTGTTGAGTTATGCGCTTACCAACACATTTAGCGATTCATTTTTTTTTTAGTCAGTAAGAATCTGACACTCCCTCTAGCCCCACGGCCTCAACCTGGGCGAGACAAAACATTCGATGAATTTCAAAATTTTATTACCTGGAAATGTGTAAAGTATTATATACATATATTGTATACATATAAGTGTATTTTTCAATACTTGATCATAATTATTTATTTTTAACTACGATGTCTAAATGTGACTGACTCCTCAGTCAAATCTGTAGTAGAAGTAGCACAGCTAATAAGATACTTAACTTTGTCGAATAAATATAAATACATAAATGAATCCCATCCCCAAATTCTCAAACCCTTATCTCCAAACCGCAATCCCAATACAGCGATGATTACTTATCTCCTAACTTTTTTTTAATTCTTCCACAGATTATGCACTCAATTTGCGTAGCAGTGCGTCACCTCCACGACTCAAATATTGCTCACCGAGACATCAAACCTGAGAACTTGCTGTACTCGAGCACCCAACCTAATGCTGTTCTGAAACTAACTGACTTTGGTTTCGCTAAAGAGACCTTGACTCCTGCCGATACCCTTCAGACACCATGTTATACTCCGTACTACGTGGCTCCTGAGGTAAGAAAACCAAATTAAATTACATTTTACTATACAAGGGTAAAAAATACACTATAAGTTATTTCAGAATATAAATTACTAGCAACTGTCCCGCGGTTTCACCCGCTGCTCGGCTCCATTTGATTGTAGCGTGATGTTTAATAGCCTATAGCACTCAGTAACATTGTAGCTATCTATCAGTGAAAGAATTTTGGCAATCCGACCAGAGGTTCCAAAGATTATAGAAACTTACAAATTTTACCTCTGTATAATATTAGTATAGACTAGCTACTGTCCCGCGATTTCACCCGCTGCTCGGTCCTACATATTGTAGCGTGATGTTTTATAGCTTATAAATATCGTTCCTCGATAATTGGACTGACAAACACAAAAAAAAATTGTACAATTCGAACCAGTTGTTCCGGAGATTAGCTCTTATTCAAACAAACAAACTCTTCAGCTTTATAATATTAGTAGGTATAGATTATTCATAGACTGAATAGAAATTCTCGGTGAAATACAAATGTTAACTTTATATATTATATAATTATGTAGTTAGCTTTTTGGCAGTGATTACTGCAGTTTTGGAATACGGTAGTTTCCAACTAGTCAAATTCAATACTTTTATCCAAATTTCAAAACGATACTTTTCTATGAAATACTGATTTATGACGTCATAACAATAGCTTACTTATTTCTTAAAAAATTAACTAAAAAAATCTAAAACTTAGTGTTCCTTTCGATCGATGAATAAAAGTATAGTAATTTTTCAATATTTTATTGTATTGAAATGTCGAATTAATTTATTTTTGAACTAGGAAACTACTCAATTATAACGGTGGTTTTGATTCGAAGTTGATGAATACAATTTTGGAGTTAAAATAAAATAGAAAAAAAAACAGGAAAAGTGGCATTGATTATATGGTTAGATATTATATATATAGATTAGTAGGCTATAAACCATCTCGCTAAGACCATTAGGGAGCTGAGCAGAGAGTTGGGACCGTGCAGATGCGGTTAATAAGAAATAACCGTGGAGATAACATATTAAGAATAATTTAATTTTGTTTAACAGGTTCTAGGGCCAGAAAAATACGACAAATCCTGTGACATTTGGTCCCTTGGTGTGGTGATGTACATCCTCCTGTGTGGTTTCCCACCGTTCTACTCCAACCATGGACTCGCCATATCACCTGGAATGAAAAAGGTAAGTTTTTAAACCAAAATAGTGGTAAGTTGGTTTTAATAAATGTTTCGAAAAGTGCTCAACTAGTTTCAAGACGTACCGGAACTCATAACAGTAAGCTGTGCTCGTGACGAAAAATTTCGAGTTCAGTTCTTAATAATGAAGTTGAGATTTTAAGTGGACGAACCATACTTCGACACGAATGGTTGCTGAGCCATGTGAATGAAGTTACCGGAGGCCCAATCCTTCCCCTCCTCCATCCTTCCCGTATCCTTAAATATCCAAATTATCATCTCCAAAAAGCAGGCTGTCAAAGGCTGCTGATGATGATGATAATGCTAATTTAAATATGTACACAGCTCGTAAACTGTTAGTTCTTTGATTATGGGTCCCGCAGTGGCTCGAAATTAGTCGAGCTCTCACTGATAGCTTTTTTTATGGAATATGTTGGCAATGGAGTAGACGGATTACCTGATGGTAAGCAATGAGCACCGCTTTTGCACACCGACGTGGTTGCGAGTGCATTGCCGGCACTTTGGGGATTTGGCAGGAATGGGAAGGACTGGGTCTCCGGTAACCTCACTCACACGGCGAAATAAAACGCTAAAGTTCATATATTTAATTGATGATTATTTTTTATTATTTCAGCGTATCAGACTAGGACAATATGATTTCCCTGAGCCAGAGTGGTCAAATGTTTCTCCTGAGGCTAAGAATCTCATCCGAGGCATGCTGTCTGTCGACCCCGCTAAGCGATTGACTATTCAACAAGTAAGTACTTCTATGTAACATTCTTTATACGATAGTTCGGCAAACGTACAAACGGATTACCTGATGGTAAGCAATCGGTGCCGCCCATGGACACTCGAAACATTACAGAAGTACCGTGTGTGTTGTTGGTCTTTTGAGGATTAAGATTTTGGAGATTTAGAGATTGGGGAGGAGAAGGATTGGGTCAGATAGCGAATAACAACACTTACGTTTGAGTTTCGCTGTCTAAGTAAGTTTACCGGAGGGTCAATCCTTCACCCCCCATCTCCATCCCCATCCATACAAGAGGCCAGAAACGCATTTCTAGCAACCCCTTTGGTATTAAAAGTGTCCATGTGTGGCGCTGATTGCTTACCATCAGGTAACCCGTTTGCTAGTTTGCCAACCTATCAAACTTAATAAAAATCATACCTACAAACTTTCGCTTTTGTAATAAATATTTGTAGATTGTTTTTTTTTTTTATTGGACAAGCCCGCCGCAACCTCCCAAAACCGCTGCAACTCCTGTAAGCCAGGATCTACAGTAGATACAACCATTAAAAGACCGGAACACTGAAGTCCGGCGCGTCCCATGGGCATATAGTAGAATATCTTACTTCTTACTAATATTATAAATGCGAAAGTTACGATGTTTGGATGTTTGTTACCCAATCGTACTCCAAAACGACTGGACGGATCTGTAGTGTGATTCTGTAAGACTTCATTCTAAACTTCGAATCTGAATCCGCCGTGAGTAGTAGTACACTAGCGCTACACTTGCGAGTTGAACTAAATTGACAGCAACATTTTGATAGATAAAGTATGAGATGACGTTAAAAGTGGCATTCTCAAATTTTATTTCCCCGTCACTTCGACGCTCACTTCGGACTCGAATAAGATTCAAAATCAAACAAATTTTATAGAATCAACGTGCTGAGTGAAATTTGGCACAGAAACAGCATACATTTTTATCGACATAAATAAACTAGTTTAATAATATTTCTTTCGTTCCTCTTTCAGGTGATGTCAAGCCCATGGATCCGTCAGTTCACCCAGGTCCCGCAGACTCCTTTATACACCCATACGTTACTTCGCGAGAGCGGGGAGGTCTGGGCGGACGTTCAGGACGAGATGACCCGTTCCCTCGCCACCATGCGAGTGGATTACGATCAGGTGACGGCGAGTGTTGCTCTCTTGTCTTTTCTAACTAGTTACCTGAGGTTAAGTAAGGTACCGAGGCCGGGTTTTGGATGGGTGACCGGTTTTGGTTTTGTTTTTTTTTCGGAAGTGTCTTTGTTGTTAGTTTTATGGTGTTTTTGTAAGGGTAAGATCATCTAATGACTTCTCTCGCCTAAAAAACCCTCCTTCTCCTCTAGACTTCGCCACCACGCTAGTGGATAGCGATTAGGTGATGACAAGTTGTCTTTTCTAAATAGTTCCTTGAGGTTAAGCAAGGTTTCAAGGCCGGGTTTTGGATGGGAGACCAGTTTTGTGTGGTGTTTTTTTTTAGGGTAAGATCATCAAATGACTTCTCTCTCCCATGGTGAGGGGAGAGGGTGTGTCAGACTCATACTACGCTAAGGTTTCGAGGCCGGGCTTTGGTTGGGTGACCGGTTTTGATGTAACTGTGTTTTTGTTTTTGGAAGGGTCTAAGGTGTTTTTGAATGCTTTTCGATAGTTTTATTTATATGTATGGTGCTGAGTTTAGTGTTTTTTTGGGAAAACAGCTTTCAGTTTTTTATTTGCTTAGGTACCTAGCTGATTTGAATTGGATATATCTGTGTAATATAATATGTAGTTACACAGGGCACTGGGCATGTTTTCTGAGGTCTGTTTTTTGATAGGTATACGGTTAGAGAAAAAGTAAAGGTGGGGGTTTTGGATGGATTGATTTTGATGATTTGGTTAATATTTTGGACGCCATAGGGTAATGTCGGTCACGCTAGTGAAGGATTTGCCCTCAGCAGACCTCACCTGTCGACATTAAAAATCGAATGTTTGGATGTGATTGCTCAGATTGATGTTTGGATGAGTGAAGTTTCTCGATATAATTACTCCGTGATTTATTTATATAAAGTTTTTGTTTTGTTATGTTATTATAAAGATGTCATCATCATCATCATCATCAGCCCCTTTCAGTCCACTGCTGGACATAGGCCTCTCCTATTGCACGCCACTGGGATCGATCTTCGGCCACTCGCATCCAGCTCCTGCCAGCCATCTTGCGCAAATCATCACTCCACCTTGCCTGAGGACGTCCTACATTACGTTTGCCGAGACGCGGTCTCCACTCAAGAACTCGTCTACTCCAACGGTCATCGGTTCTTCGGCTAATATGGCCAGCCCACTGCCATTTCAGCTTGCTAACCCGGTGGGCTATGTCGATTACCTTGGTTCTCTGCCGGATCACCTCGTTTCTGATTCGATCTCGTAGAGAAACGCCGAGCATAGCCCTCTCCATAGCTCGCTGAGTGACTTTTAGCTTGTGAACCAGCCGCACCGTCAGTGTCCACGTTTCGGCTCCGTATGTCATGACAGGTAGGACGCACTGATTGAAGACTTTCGTCTTTAGGCACTGTGGGATCGACGACGTGAAGACTTGACGCAGCTTTCCATATGCTGCCCAACCCAGCTGAATTCTTCTATCCACCTCGTTCTCGAAGTTGTTTCTACCCATCTGCAATGTCTGCCCGAGGTATACATATTTTTGAACGACTTCGAGAACAGCGCCGTGTACTGCAATCGGTTCCGGTAGTACATGTTCATTGAACATGACCTTGGTTTTATCCAAGTTCATCCGTAGGCCGATGCGTATAGAAGAGTCAGCCAGGTCATTCAGCATCCGTTGTAGGTCCTGCAGCGTTTCTGCTACGATGACGATGTCGTCTGCAAATCGCAAGTGAGAGATGTACTCGCCATTTATGTTGATGCCGCGTCCTTTCCAGTTCAGCGTCTTGAACATATCCTCCATTGCATTTGTGAACAATTTCGGGGAGATAACATCCCCTTGTCTCACACCTCGATGCAACGGTATCGGCCTTGTTTGCTGATCCTGTACTTGGACGGACATGGTGGCGGCCTCGTAGAGACATCTCATCACTTGGATGTATCGCCAATCTACTTGGCATCGCTGCAGGGACTCCAGAACAGCCCAGATTTCGACCGAGTCAAAGGCTTTCTCATAGTCCACAAATGCTAGGCACAGGGGCTGATTATACTCCTCAGTCTTCTGTATAATCTGCCGCACTGTGTGGATGTGGTCTATGGTGCCGTATCCGCTCCGAAACCCAGCCTGCTCCGGTGGTTGGAATTCGTCAAGTCTTCGCGCAAGGCGGTTCGTGATCACTCTCGAGAACAGCTTATAGACGTGGCTTAAAAGGGAAATGGGTCGATAATTCTTCAGTAGGGTTTTGTCACCCTTTTTGAAGAACAAAACGACCACACTCCGACTCCACGCCTCTGGAGTTCTCCCTTCAAACAGGACAGCGTTAAATAGCTTTTGCAGCTCCCTGAAAAGATGTAAAAGATGTAAATGTCAATAATATTAATAAGTTTAACTTTTTAATGTTTTTGTGTCTGCTTTAAATGCATGTTTGTGTGGTAAATGTTGTTTCAATTTTGTAAGCTTTCTTCATTTAAATATTAAAAGATAACTTATGAAAAAGTAAACGAAGTTTTCAAATATTTTGTAATGTATTTTAGTGCCATCTAGTGCGTAAACAGATAATATACCTCTTTTTAAACATAAATAGATATAAGTATTATACAAGATCTCACTTTAAAAATCTCTATTACAGGTTCAAATCAAAGCGTTGGAACAGAGCAATAACTCTTTACTCAACAAGCGGAGAAACAAAGTGGGCGCCTGATGCTCCTGCCGACACCGTCCAGATACGCGGCGTGAATATATCAAGTGAACAATAGTGAATTATTCAAACTTTTTAATTGTAAAAGTGATTGAATGTTCGTGCAATTTTTCTTCTTCGCACTTTAATGTAGGACAACGCCATCTAGTTTGTGGAGGTGGAACTTTTTCGGTGTAGTATTTTCGCACTGTCATTTTTTGTTCTTTGTAGGTGATAATAAAGTGATAGTTTTAAAAAGATTTTCTGAGAGAAAAATGACCGAATAATAACATACGAAGCTTTACTGTAATACAAAATCAAGTTATAGCCTAAGCTGTTACAGAACATTACGCCACTAACGCCATCTCTGGAACAGAAACCGAAAACTTTAGAAGATTCATTTTTAAATTTGCTGGATTTCTTTTAAATATTATTGGGTATAATTTTATTACTCGATATTACAAACTAATATTGAACACTTCAATGATAAGCACGAAAATTTAATTTATTCGATATAATTAGTGCATTTTGATTATGTGCACACTATGTGCTTATAAATACCTCCGTAATAATTAATATTTTTTAACCACTTTCCCTTACTAGGATTTTCTCCTATATCGTGGGTAACAACAAACATAATTTCACATACACATCACACCCAGACCCGGAACATTAATTTTGTACATCACTCAAAAATAATAACGATAGGTACGTCGTATAATTTTCATGATCCCTATTAAATAATTATCAATGTTTAATACCAAATTACTTAACTGAATGGCGAGATATCGACATCATAAATAGACCATAAAACTGAATTTTACACGTCAATTTTATATATAAAAATATCTAGATGAAGCCGGCATAACCTATCTGACTACTCTGAGAAGAAATGCCTAAACAAACGCAGAGGTCAGTCTCTTAAAAGTCTAGAAAAAATCATAAATAATATGTGACTAGTTTTAAAACCATGATAGGGGAACATATAGCGTTACTGAACAGAATTTTTTGTCAGGGGAAAATCTTCAAATGACTTCTCCCGCCCAGTGTAAGGCGAGAGAGAGTGTCAGACTCTTACTGACTAAAAACCCCCTTTCTTTCTCCTGCTTAAGGCCGAGCCTGCGGTGTATATTACGCTTGTCCCGCAACCCCGACTAAACATCGGCCCTATAGGTAAAAATGTTGTCTGAAATTTTTACTGTACTTACACATCCCTGCCATTATGACATCACAATTATCATATTTTTATTAATTAGCTTTGCTAAGCTAAGATGCCCCATCCTCAATCCTCATTACAATTTGCTACTAGAATATTTTTTATTGATATCGAAAATGGATGAAGAACTTAAAGAGAATGCACAATCACAAATATTATAACAGCTAATCATTTATCAGCCAAAAGATTGTTTTGGCTAATAATAAAACGCCTTCCAGCTAAATATAAGGACACCGGTCCGATTCCCATGCCAGGCAAAGGACTGGAATTATACAAAAAAAAAAAATACGCGTCGTATTGAGAACCTCCTACTTTTTTGAAGTCGGTTAAAAACTATATATAAAAATATATCTCTCAACTATTTAATGGATGTTATTATACATTTAGAAAAACCTTCCTTTTCAATCACTCTATCTATAAAAAAACCGCATCAAAATTAGTTGCGTGGTTTAAAAGATTTAAGCGTACATAGGGATATAGGGACAGAGAAAGCGACTTTGTTTTATATTATGTAGTGATGTGCATATCTGCCTTTATCGACTAAAACTAATTTTACAGTTTAAGTAATTAACAATCTCTAATTAAACACGAGTAAATAATCATATTTTTTACTCAACAAATTTTACTACACAAATTACCTACTACAATACTGAATTAAAACATAGTGAATAATATACTTAGATATTTTTTTTACAAAAAATCCTAAATCACAATTATTCTAAATATTACAATTACGTAGAAAGTAAGTTATGTTAATTATATAAGTCTTTTGTTGTTTTATTTTATTATATATATTTGTTTTTCCTTTATTTTTGTTAAAGGAAATCTCTTTTTCAATGGTTAAAATGATTTGGGGTAAAGTTAATATAGAAATACTTTAAAAATTAAAGGTTTTTCAATTTATATTTGTTTAGTGTTTTGTTCATTACTCATCTATTACTTCTTTAGTTAAAAAGTTTTAAATATAAGTTTAAAAATTAGTTGCCTGGACGTTAACGCGCCCGCTTCTCATGCATAAGGCATATTTCCGAGTTATATGGACTTTCTATGATTATTTAGACACCACTGACATATGTAGGTACAAGGTGAGGGAAAACATCTTGACGAAATCTAGACTGTTATTAATTTTTTTTATAGCCTATCGTGTGTCCCACTGCTGGGCAAAGGCCTCCCCTTTATCCTTTCAAATTTCTCTGTCTAGAGCGATCTCCGGCCAAGTTTGCCCCACGAACATGATCAGATCGTCACACCACCTTCGCCGTGGTCGACCTCCTTCTGGTGTCCAGTGAGTGACATATATAAAAAATAACATATATAATTAATATATAAAAAATAATTAAATCTGGAATTATATTATAGACTAGCTACTCTCGCGCGGTTTCACCCGCTGCTCGGCTCCATTTTATTGTCGCGTGCTGTTTTATAGCCTATAGCACTTAGGAACATTGTAGCTGTCTATCAGTGAAAGCATTTTGGCAATCCGACCAGCAGTTTCAAAGATTACCCCCCTACATACAAACATACAAACTTACAAATTTTACCTTTTCATAATGTTAGATTTGGAACCGCCAATCCGGCTTGATAATCTTTAGCACCATTACAATACTTTAATTATCTACTACGAACTACTACTAAAACAAGTAATTATTTGAGTCATATTTTTAAAACCTAGTGCTTAAAACTTTTTAACTGTTCTAATAAAAATCTGTTCTTGACCTCCCTACCAAAAACTTTGTAAAGTTTCATAAAAATCCGTCCAGCCGATTTTGAGTAATTGTCTTACAAACGTGTTAAGATCACTTGTGTTAATTTCATTCTGTATTTAAACGTCTTACCGAGAAATTTGACTTAGTTCTACTATTTATAACAACTGCACTTAAATAAGTGACTCTATCTATATCTTTAACTACCCCATTTCATTTATTTCATCCCCATTTCACCATTTATTTGGTAAAAATAGTTAATTATTAGAGCTATGAATATTGAACCTTGTTACAACGTAATAAGGGCTTATAGGTTATCTAAAAATCTAGATATATAAGTATATTTACATAATTACTACTCGTTAGAGTAAATGCTAACAAATCGATGTGTAGAATTTTGACTTTGAAAATGTATAGGATCTTATTTTATTAATCTTTACCTATATATAAAAATTTCGTGTCACGTGTTTGTCCGCGATGGACTCCTAAACTACTAAACCAATTTTAAATTTGATTTGCATTCCGTGTGCATTTTGATCCAACTTGAAAGATAGGATAGCTTACATATCAATTTATAGTCACAATATTATTTTATTGCAACTTATTTGTCCAGAAACCTTAGCCACAGCAATGCGTGGCTTTGTCTGCTAGCATGATATAAAATAGTGCATTATGGGGCAATTGTGTAATTAAGCCTCAAGGGCGGTCTGATACCGTCGCCGGCTCCTTAAGACCCTCACCTGACGGCTCGGCTCTCATTGCGACTCAGCGGTAATCTCCAATATTACACACTTGTTCCAAAATGTAATAATATTAATACCTTTCCGATCGCATGTAATATTGATTTCTTCTAAAAATTTAAGAATGTTGGGAGAAAATGTTGCTTATGTTACTTACTCTCTTAGATTTATATCCGGTTTCCGAAAGGCCGATCAATGTTAAAATCAATTTAATCACTTGTCAAGTCATCTGATTGGATGACTGATTTATCAACAACCAATCAGATGACTTGACAAGAGATTTAACAGGAGATTCGTTAATTTTAGCGTTGGCAAGCCTTTCAGAAACCGGGTGTTAGTCATTCCAGTAGCTATCTTTCTTTCAATTTTGGGCTAAAGTCAGCTTAAAGTATGATTAAGTTTTGGTATGCAGCTACTACGAAAATCCTTGGTTCAGCATGTGAACAGTACGCATTGTTTTAACTGATCCGACCAAAGGTTAAAAAGAAATAGCTTCATTAGTACGTTTATAATTTTGTGTAACAAGCTATTGTCTCTATATTTAGTCAATTCTTATTAGACTACCTATGCAGACTAGACATTTATTGATTTTGAAGAAATGAATACGAGTCTAAAGTTGTTTCTTTATATATTTGTGTTTATAAAATAAGATCCTGTACATAAAAATGGCTTTTAGACTTAGTTAATGTTAATAATAATAAGATGACACCCGGTTTCTGTAAGGCTTGTCAACGCTAAAATTAAGTAATCTTCTGTTAAATCTCTTGTCAAGTCATCTGATTGGTTGTTGATAATTCAGTCAACCAATCAGATGACTTGACAAGAGATTAAATTGATTTTAACATTGATCGGCCTTTCGGAATCCGGGTGTAAATGTATTACCTAAATGTAAATACACAAATTAAGGGTATGTTTACTTAAATACTTCATTGTCTCAAATATTATAAAAAAATGGTTTTTTTCTGCGATTTTTTTATGTAAAAAAAATGTTTTTCATTCCCTTATAAATGTCTAAAGTGTAAAATTTTCACATATTTATTAAGTACTTGTATCTTTTTGCAAAATAACATGTTCTATTTGTTGTCTAAATTGTCAATTTTCTTTGTAAAATAATTAAAATTGTGAGGTGCTGTATACAAGTTTAAAATCGCAATGTACTATTATAGAAAGTAGTAAATAAAAAAAGTATATGGAAATTTATCAAAAAAAAAAATTTGAGTGAGTGATTAATTTTTATGTAATTAATAATAAATAAGGCTGTACTAGATATTTTTTGTGTTTTATTCCTATATTTTTTGATAATGATCCCCCACGCTGTGATCTCCTGTGACGTGCTTACAAGACCAAGACCCGGAACAATTTGCGAACCACACACTAATATTATGCGAATATTTGGAAACTCAAGCTGGCTATAAGTTCCACAAAAGCTGATCGCCCTGTCCCCAACAGACTAAGACTTAAGTATCCTATTATGAAATAACAAAGGCTATTCCCTGCGAAGAAATCTTGCAATGTCTCAAAATCTAGACATTCTGTACACAAAAAGAAATACCGAAATTTTTGTACTCCCATATGTTGCATGCAACCCTCTTAGACAATTAAATTCATCCCATTTACTAATCTGTATCAAATAGCGGATAAGATTTGCGCATTGCGTCGCAATAAACTCTCTCTTGGGGCGGGTTTAACCCCAAGTGGATAAAAAGCTCGTCTGAGACATTTACTGATAAAGGAAACTGGAATCGAGAATATACGCGGTCTAAAATGTGCCAATTTATACAATTTCTAACATAGTTTTTTTAGGAATAACTAATATTTTCTTGGTTTTGTTACTGAATGGTCTTAATTATCATATGCCGCATAAAATTCTTGAATTGTCTCAAAATCTATAGATCCTAGATTAAAAGGTGCGGCGGGACGTGGGAATGAACTTGGCAGAAGTGGGCCCACATTAATTTGTAATTAAAGCCAAAGGCCAGATCAGAAGTAAATTGTGATTAAATTGTATGAGAGAACGATTGTTGGTGTTCAGGAGCTCAGGGAGATAAAAAATAATGTAGACTGTATTTAGTTTAAAATTAAGTACTTATATTACAACGTAACAAAGAAAGTAGGTGTACAAAGATGTTAACTAAGGGACCCCCGCAGAGCTGGTCGCTGCTCGCGCGCCGGTCTGCTACCCTGCGCCCGCGCCTCAGCCGTCGGTGACACCAGTCCACATGATCACGCGATACGGTAGTTTCCAACTAGTCAAATTCAATACTTTTATCCAAACGTCAAAAACTATACGTTTCTATGAATTTTGTACGTAAAACTGAGCTATGACGTCATAACTTTTTGTCGTCAAATAGCTAACTTATTTCTTAATAATTAGCTAAAAAAAATCTAAAAATTAATATATCGATCGATCGATGAATAAAAGTATAATTATTTTTCAATATTTTATTGTATTGAAACGTCGAAATAATTTATTTTTGACCTAGGAAACTACCCAATTGATGTGTGAACAGTAGGTCTAAAGCGATTATGAAGAGCTGCTCTTAAGGTCCAGCAAACATTATACCTACCTTACTTAAAAACGAATCGTAAGTAAACAAAATTGTCGACCGGCGTTGCTAGTCAAACGCAATAAGAAAAACCTTGAGTTGGAACGGGTTTTAATGTATTGTGTGGGAAACCTTTAGCACGAATGGGCCGACTCGACCGGAGTTATATCACGGCCTCAAAGAAAACCGGCGTGAATTAACCACAGTTGTGTTTCGTGTGAGGTTACTGGAGGCCTAATACTTCGCCTCCCCCACTCCTCAAATGGTCGGAAACGCACTCGTAATTCCTTTGTTGTTGTGTCCATGGGCGGCGCTGATTGCTTACCATGGGGTAATCCGTCAGCTCCTTTGCCATTCTTTTACACAAAAAAAAACAGTAACGCTTTTTAGTCAGTAAGAGTCTGCCTCTTATCTCAAGCAGTGATGGGTGGAGGAATCATTCGATAATTCTCCTCTCCTTAACCTTTCGTGTTAAGCGCGTGCAGACATATTTTTTTTTTTTTTTAGCCTATATTGTCCCACTGCTGGGCAAAGGCCTCCCCATCTCGCTTTCACACCTCCCGATCCTTCGACCGTGTCCACCAGTCTCGACGATAGGCGTCTAGATCGTCACGCCATCTTTTCCGGGGCCTACCTCGCCTGCGGCTTCCATCCTGAGGTGTCCACTGGGTGATAATAGTGGCCCATCTCTCTGGATGCATTCGGCTGACGTGTCCGGCAGACATATTTACTATAATTAAATTTAAGGCGAAAATTATTTTCGTCATTAGTTTTTTTATTCTTATATTTTTAATAAAAAGGAAAGAAATAAAAAGTCCTAATATAACAAAACACTTTATTAAATTCTATAATATCCAATTTCACCCAAACTGGGAATGTATTAGTATATGCAAGCACCACTATTATATAATTATTAATGATAACAATACAAAAAAGTCTTAGATAATCTAAATTCAAAGAAATGATACAAAACAAATATGTATTATACAAAAATGTAATGATATTTTAATTCTTTTGCAAATTAATTAATAATGGCGGATGTTTCCAACTATACTTACTAGTCAAATTATTTGCTTCTGTGAGTAATTTGCATTTTTTTATTATATGCCTTCTCTCTTTTTCTACAAGTAATTTTGAAAATTCAAGATTACATATCAATCATACTAATATTTTTTCTTTTATATTAAATAACCTTTTTGTTACTATGTCTGTGTGCACACGGTTCGTGTCAATAAACTTTTTTCTTTCTTTTCTTTCTTTCTTTCTTTCTTAATATTATAAATCCGAAAATTTGTAAGTATCGCTAGATATTTGTTACTCTTTCACGTAAATACTACTGGACGGATCTGAATGAAATTTTGCACATGTAATGCAATGAGATAGATTATAATTTGAAATAAGACACAGGGTAATTATTACCCTGGAATTGAGGAGGAAGCTGCTAGCAGATACCATTATTAAAACATTAAATTAATGTTTTATTCATAACAACTCATTTTTACTAAAGAAAACATACGAATTTTTATTGTTGTAAATTAAACAAAACATATTTTTTATTCAAATATAAAAATGAGATTAAGTAATTCGAGTCTTTGCGTGAATTTGAGTAAGCTAAGATTACAATACAAATCAAAAAAAACTCTATCAAACTATATAAGTATACACTACAAAAAATAATTATTATAAGTTTAAAAAATCAGAAAGCAATAAAAACAATTGTACCTAATTGTTATAAGTTTATTCTACATAAAAAAGAAGAGATTCACATTGGAGTTCTATCAATATTATAATTATAAATTTTGTATAATACTTGGTTGCTATGTAATAATAGGTCTTTACCTATGAAATTGCCGTTTTGCATGAAAAAATTTAAACGATTTTTTTAATTTTAAAATGTGATTTAAATGTAACACTAATCAATAAACAAATGACTACTTTTGGAAAAAGAATCCCATGTTTTTAAAACAAAATTAATTAGCCTTAGCCAAACAAAAACTATTTTGATTTGCAATGGCCAGTACTGCAGAACGGAACAATTTCATCGGTAAAGACCTATTAGAATAAAAATACAAAATATCTATTATCAAGAAAATATTACTTAAATATACTTAAGTACTTAAAATAATACTTAATATAATATTCTCAAATGAGAAAAAAATAATTGTTTTTTATAAGAATAGTCAGAAGATTAACAATATAATCAAGAAGAATATCAAAATAATAATTTTTTCAACACACTTCCTCATAAAGTGGCTCTAATCCCACGGCAATTAGGCACGTAATGACACCTATAATCAAACTGTGACTTTTTCATTACTATTATTCACGAGTGAGTAAAAAAATTTTTTTTTATATATTATTAGTTGAGTTAATCTTGCATTTGCGCTAAAATGCTATCATTTTTACCGACTTCAAAAAAAGGAGGAGGTACTATGTTCGGCTGTTTTTTTTTTGTATGTTCATTCATTAATTACTCCTCATTATTTAAGAACCGATTTCCAAAATCCTTGTTTTGTTTTTTAGTCTATGGCCGATGCGCGCGCATATTTTACCGCCATTACGAAACGTTTTCAAAACTCGTCTCGTTAGGTATCACTTTTGAAGTTTTTTATTTAAGTATTATTTCATTAGGAAGTGTGTTGAAAAACGTCGTTTGATACACGTGTGTATTGATGATTACAGTCCTCGGCTCCTTAAGACCCTCGCCTGACGGGCCTTGTACTATAATGTAATATTAGGCCACAATTATCAGTAAGTTTATAGGAATGTGAAGAGAATGTATATAATGGGTGCTACCCAAGCGCTGTGGGCTAGGGTCAGGCCGGTGGCGCAGGCGAAGATGTACCAGACCAGCCCCATAATGAAGAGCTGCCACATCACGTGGAAGAGGAGTAGGCTGAAAGAATAAAATATGTATTAAAGTAATTGGTAGAAAGAGAAAACTCAAAGAAATCCTACTAATATTGTAAACCAGAAATTTTATAAATGTAGACAGATTTTTATTCATAATCATCAGCCTATAAGACCTATAAGCCCACTGCTGAGCAAAGGCCTCTTCTCACACGGAGAAGGTTAGAGCATTAATCACCACGCTTGATTTCAAACTTATAATTAGAAATTATAAGTCCAGGTTTCCTGACGATGTTTACCTTCACCATATGTCAGTGATGTATAAATAATCTTAGAAAGTACATTTAACTCGGAAAAAGTCACATTGGTACTTGCTAGGTTTCGAACCCAAACCCTCATGCATGAGAAGCGGGCTACTTAACCTACGGGCCACCACAACATTTTTATTACTCTTTCAGAAACTCTTTTCAGATTTTTATTACTCTTTCAAGAACTATTGAATGATGCTGAATGAAATTTGGCACTGATGTAAATTACTATCTGGACTAACAGAATGCATATAAATAATTAATCCTTCTCCTCCTGTCTCTCCCCAATCCCCAAAAGGCAACGCACTCGTAACCGCCCTGTTGTTGTGTTCATGGGCAGCGCTGATTGCTTACCATCAGGTAATCCGTCTGCTCGTTAATTCATTTTAACAGATACTCTAAGCATAATACAGTAACTATAATCAAAATAGTTTTATACGATATAGAGACCGGTGTTGCCAGTAATATACATATTAGTAGTTTCTCCTTTTCTTTTCTCTTTCTTTCTTAATTGTTTTAATTTACAATATAATATTCAAATATTCACGGCCCGGAGGTTAAGTAGCCCGCTTCTCAAGCATTTGGGTGTGGATTCGAAACCTTGCAAGTACCAATCAATGTGACTTTTTCCGAGTTATATGTACTTTCTATGATTATTTAGACACCACTTAAACGATGAAAGAAAACATAATGAGAAAAACCTGGACTTGTATTTTCAAATTATAACTTGTTTTGAGCAAGCATAGTGATTAATGCTCAAACCTTCTCCGTGTGAGAAGAGGCCTTTGCTCAGCAGTGGGCACTTACAGGCTGATGATGAGTCCGGCCCATGTAGACAGTCATTTAGAATAACAAATAATAGTTTAATACTTACACCATGTCCTTCTTCCGAGCGGCCGGTAGGGTGGATTCCTTTTCCTTATTCAGGTATCTTCTCACACCCAAGTGTAGAGTCTTGAAGTATTCTACCCACTGAAACAAAATAGAAAATCTTATATATAAAAATGGATCGCAAAATGTGTCGGTAAGCGCATAACTCAACAACGCCTTTTTTATGATAAGTCGGCAAACGAGCAGACGGATTACCTGATGGTAAGCAATCGGCGCCGCAACACCAAAGGAGTTACGAGTGCGTTGCCAGCCTTTTGGGGATAGGGGTTGCGGATATAAGGATTGGGAAGGGAAAGGGGAACGGGAGGGATTGGGCCTCCGGTAACCTCACCCACACGGCAAAACACGATGCTGTGAGTTGTTTCACGCCGGTTTTCTGTGAGGCCGTGGTATCACTCCGGTCGAGCCGACCCATTCGTGCCGAAGCATGGCTCTCCCACACTTAAACTTATTTTTTTAGTTCTCTACGTTCAAAACTTTTCTGGACTTCCACGAATAATTCAAGACCACAAGCCAAATCGGTAAAGGCATTGTCGAGTTATAACATTACAACGAACATTGGCAATTATCTATACTAATATTATAAAGAGGTAAAATTTGTAAGTTTGTATGTAGGGGGTAATCTTTGGAACCGGTGGTCAGATTGCCAAAATTATTTCACTCATAGATAGCTACAATGTTCCTGAGCGCTATAGGCTATAAAACATCACGCTACGATCAAATGGAGCCGAGCAGCGGGTGAAACCGCGCGAGAGTAGCTAGTTTATATATATAGATGTGCCACACAAGACTATACTTACATATAACTTGGAAATATCGATAAAGAACAGTTCCTTATCAGTCTGGTTCAATTTAGTTGCCAATTCCAGTGTATTAGGGTTGTGGAACTTCCATTCGCTGAATATAAAGCGCTCCAATCGGTTGAGAGAATTCCATACGTTCTTGTGTAGACGAATCAATCTGAAATTAAAAATAAAAATTTGTTATTCAAAATTCTTAAAAAAATATATCAAATTCTTTATTTCAAATAGACCAAAACAGGCACTTTTGAACGTTAAGCAAATAAATATATCATAAGCTTTAACTTTATATGTGTCAGTCTGTCCGTCTGTCCTCTAGTGAAGCTATTTGCTCGTTCCAAAGTGTAGATTCCTATTGTTTTAACACTTTCATTGCAACTACGATTTTCACAATGCAATCTCGAATGCCGCCTACATGTCTCGTTCATTTTAGGCCGCTATCCCACAGACGGTAATGCTACGCAAAACACAACTTTGACGTCAACGCTAGTAAAATGCCTAGTGGGATAGCGGCCTTACAGTGCGGCCGACGTATCTTGGCGAGTCTGAAGTTAGCCGATTAGCTGCGCAGTACACAATTTTGTTCCTAAAAGATCCATTGCGCAGACAAACGGCTAACTTCAGACTCGCTAAGATACGTCGGCCGCACTGTACGTTGAACTCGCCGGGCGAGTCCAGGGCGTTGGAATAAAGTTTGCGTGGGCTCTCTGGGCGAGTCCGTTGCACTGAATGGTTTAAACTTCTTCAAGAGTAGCAATGAGCTTGTAAGAAATTAGGTGATTTCCTATAACAAAAATAAATTATTTTGACTTTTCAATAAAATCTAATCATAGTTTTTTTATCTTTCAATCGTGGTAGTTCGAGACACAATAGAAGAACAGGTGCGAGAACGCCGGCGTTCGTTGGCCCTCTTATTACAAAACATGATCTTTAGTGTAGGTTTTAACCATTGAGTCAGGTTTTGTATTTTGAATCTTATTTTCACCAAACTTAAATTCGAAATACAAACACTTGCTCAATGGACTTAAACTAAAAAAAACCTTGTTTTGTAATAAAAAACACGGAAACTAGGATTTTCTCCTGCGCGGTTTCATTGTATGTTTGTAAATTAATTATTAACATACACAGACCCAGACAGATCATCATAACAGGGAGTTCTCGTGCCATATTAAAGATGTTGAAAGGCAACAAAGTTTGTTGCCTTTCAACAAGTTTGTTGAACAAACTCCTGTTTCAGAATATGATACAGAAAAGTTTACGGTGAATCAATCTTAGTTATATTAGAATCTAGGTTTCTCAAGAGAAACTTACCATTTAGCTTAAACTTATTCTAAGCTACATTTTTAAGTAATTCCGGGGGGACAGCGCGAACGCAGTCCCCACTACCAAAAATTACGCATCCGAGTTATCCGCATTAGGGATAATCGCAGGGGTCAACCCTTTCGCAGTGCAATGAAAGGATCTCGCCCTGGGGGAACCGCCTTCTTGATCACGGTATCCCCTATGCCAGGTAAGTATGCTTTGCTCCGAGCGAGCCGCGAGGGTCGTTCGACGGCGGAGAATCTTAACACCGCGATTCAGAAACGTGACGTATTTTACTAACGCCATCTAGTTGCGAATTCGGTACTAAAATCGGTGTTGGCTATACAACTCCATCTGTGATTCGTGACGGGAACTATTATAAGCTACAAGTCCTACTTGTTTTGCACGGACGTCCAACTACCATAGTGTAAGTCATATGTTATGTCAATATATCTCTTGGCCAGGACAAATATAACAAAACAAAGATATCGATATTGCCAAAGGTCCAATTTACCTACTCTTGTCCCCAAACTCCTAACAACCCTCAAACCGGTAAAGCACTTGTAACTTGGCCTTTGGTGTTACGATTCGTCGATTGCTTACCATCAGCTTTTAATAAAAACATAATAATTAATCAATATTGGTTAGGGGCAGGGGCCATATCCGTCCGGTCAAAGGTCCGGGACCCTGTAGTCCCGTGAATGGAAGTGAACATACATATTAATACTTACATGGGTCGTCCCCCGGTCATTCTAAGCATCAAATCCAATAATAGAGCCGGGAAGAAATGCACGAATATAGCTGAAATCCTGAACATCAAGAGTGAGGGGACGAATTTTAAGTGGGGGTACCTGAAAATATACAATATGATAGTTAGTGTTACATTAAATTTGAATCAAATTCAAATTCTTTATTAGAATTCTTAATAAGTCTCAATATAGAATAGACTCGATAGGGCACAGATTTAAGAAATTATGGAGTATAATTTATTATAAATGTCCTTTACAATATATGTATATAAAACCATTTAGTATAGATTTGTGTGTGTGTGTGTTTGTGAGAGGTTGTGCATGTATTCTTTTTCGTGCAATTAGTATTTTATATCAATTCAAGTTATAAATTTGTCTATCATTCATTTTGTCTTCCATGTATTCTTTAACTGTGTATTAGCATTTGATAACGTGACTACACTGAAGAAGATCCCGATTAATATTCCTATAAAGATTTTGGTAATTATAAATATGGATAAAAGAATATTAGAAAAAACTGACGCATAAACAAAGTGCACTAAATGTTATAATAATTATTTTAAGGAATTAAGAACCATCGTACCTTTTTATTAGGATGAATGTATTGTATTGTTATCATATGAGAACAAAACATTTTAATGGTAGTTATTCAAACAGCTCTATAGTTTCTTTGACAATTCAATGCGAAAAAACAAACAATCAAATCTTTGATTCAATGATTTGCCAAATGGCACACACTCTTTTTATTGTGTTTAAACTGTTCTTCTTTATAGTGTGCGTAACATAAATCTCAATGCTATCAGACATGTCTTAAATGTAGTATCATATAAGATAATGGACAAATTAACTTCTTATTTCCAATATTATAAGTAAAAATGTGTCGTAGTAGGTGTAGTAAAATAGCTAACTAGCCACAATTTTTCATATTTGTCTCTTTTTCACTCGCGATTATTGAATCATGCCATACCAATTTGATCTAATCATACGAATTGTTCATGTGTGCACCAGTGTGCCGTTTTTGAAAATCGAATATTGTTCATTATGTAACCTATCTACACCATTTTACTTATAATATCATTGCTTATTTGCCTATATTTGTTTTCTTTTGTGTGTGGGAGAGCCATGCTTCGATGACGAATGGGTCGGCTCGTCCGGAGTGATACCACAGCCTCACAGAAAACCAGCGTGAAGTAAAACTGTATATTTCACCGACCGAGTGAGTGAGATTACCGGAGGCTCAATCCGCCTCCCCCATGATCTATCCTCAAATCCTTAAATCTCTAACAATCTAAGACGCCGGCAATGCATTCCTAGTAACTCCTTTGGCATTGCGGGTTTCCATGGGCGGTGTTGATTGCTTGTAATCAGGTATTTTAAATCGACATTTAAAAAATACATATTACATATTACGTATATAATACATAAACAGGTAAAATTTGTAAGTTTGTGAGTTTGTATGTAGGGGTTAATCTTTGGAACCACTGGTCGGATTGCCAAAATTCTTTTACTGATAGATAGCTACAATGTTCCTGAGTGCTAAAACATCACGCTACGATTAAAAGGATTTGAGCAGCGGGTGAAATCGCTCGAGAGTAGTTAGTATTATAATATAATCTTACCAGACAGCACTCTTCAATGGGTATTTATGCAGCATGCCGTTGACAGTATCATCTAGCATAGTCCACGTGAAGGGGTGGCAGGTGGACGATGAGCAATGGTACACTGTTAGTCCGGAGCTGTAAACATAACATTTTGATAACATTACATACATGAAATTAAATTATTTCTTTTTCTTCTTCTTTCTTTAAAAAAACGTTGCCCCACATTAGGATTTTCTCCTGTGTCGTGGGTGCGTTTACAAACATACTTTTTAGTCAGTAAGAGTCTGACACTCTCTCTCGCCCCACACTGGATGGGAGAAGTTATTTGATGATTTTCCTCTCATTTTTTTAATTATTATTTTTATGTATTTTTACAGAATAAAGAAAATATTTAATTTTTTTTTGTTCACAGATTATATAGTGATATAACGAAGTATCTAATATAGCGATTTTCGTGAATAAAATTCTAAGTTACACAATGAAAAGGTAAAAAATATTTCTTTTAGTATAGAATAGAATTCATTCATTGCAAGAAGCATAGCGAAAGAAAGATCTGAGAGCTAAACAGTGAACTTCACACTTCGCCATGTAAAGATGGCATGCAAAATTCATCAGTTCGAGGTTTGAGGGTGCATTGTAAACTAATAAAATCTTATATTTATATAAAAATGGATCTCAAAATGTGTTGGTAAGCGCATAACTCAACAACGCCTGGACCAATTTTACAAATTCTTTTTTTGTTGTGTTTGTTATTGTCAGGAGAAGGTTCTTATCAAGGAAAATATTAGAAAAGTAGAGGGGAAGGGTACGAAAAGTGACACTTTGATAGCGAGATCTAGTTGACCCGTGCGAAGCGGGGAGAAAGGGCGGGCCGCTAGTATGTAATAAATATATTGTAACTAATAAATCGCATGTGCAGAATTATTAAATAATTGATTACCATTACATTACCAATACACACTTTCTTAAACTAATGTTTTTGACGAGTAAAAGTTCTGTTTTATGGCCTACTGTCAATAATAACAACTGACCTTGAGTTGGCAGCTTCCCAACCGGCGACCAATAGCTGGTTGACTACTACATCAACCGGAATATAATCTGCTACGTTCTCCTTAGCAAGCGGAAGGCGACGGACAACACCTGAAAATTTATTAAAATATTTTAAACTAACTACTCTCGCGCGGTTTCACCCGCTGCTCGGCTCCATTTGATTGGAGCGTGATGTTTTATAGCCTATAATACTCAGGAACATTGTAGCTATCTATCAGTGAAAGAATTTTGGAAATCCGACCAGCGGTTCCAAAGATTACCTACTACATACAAACTTACAAATTTTACCTCTTTATAATATTAGTATAGATAAATGTTGCTCTACTTTAGGATTACCTTCTGTCTCGTGATTGACAAACATTCATTTGTCATTCATTCACACACATCACACCCAAACCAGAGACAATAATTTGTTTTGTGTGTGCGGGAATCGAACCCGCGACACGCAAAACGCAGCAGCCAGTTGCCCGACCACGGCACCAACCGTGCCGTCAAAAGTTATCTTAGTCCACTTTTGAAAGTGAAACAAAAAAGAAACATATCATAAAATTCAGTGTCTGTCAGTCTGTCGGTCAGTCTTCTAGTGAAGCTATTTGCTTGCTTGTTTCAAAGTGTAGATTCCTATGGAGAAGAACAAGCAAGAAACTCCATGGCTACTGAATGCCGAACCTAACAACAGATTTCACATTTTCATAGTGTGCTATGTAGTTCTAGATCAGACCTTTAGCAGCTCCCATCAGAAAACCTTGAGGCCCAACTTTGGAGCAAGTCCATCCAGGTATCGGTTCTTTCCATGATGCAACAACTGGAAATTGAAAACGAAATTAGTTTAACTAAATATACTAAATGTCGACAAGTTTAAGGTTTTTTTTAAAAAAGGGTAGCAACACACTGAAGATTCGTTGCCGGACCTTTTAAAAAGGAAATAAACTTAACGTTTTGCTAAAATTAAAGTAGAAATGGGCTGGGAAAGGAAACCGGTACACCATACACCCCATCCGACATAGGAGGCACTCCGGATATCGGTGATCGAGCGACGATCGAGGACGGCGAGCTAATGTTAACGATCCTGTCAAACAATCAATTGATGGAACACCTTTTTTTTTCTTTTAAAAAAACGTAGCCCCACAGTAGGATTTTCTCTTGTGTCGTGGACAAACAAACAATTTCACATACACATGACACCCAGACCCGGAACAACAATTTGTGGATCACACAAAGAGTTGTTCCGTGCGGGAATCGAACCCGCGACACGTTGCACGGCAGCCAGTTGCCCAGCCACCGCGCCAACCGTGCAGTCAAAAAGATTAGCCTTAAAGATCCAATAGACCACCACAGACCCCTAAAGGGCTAATGGTCAGCCGGAGTTGCGGGGTAAGCGCAATGAGTCACCGCGGCCTCGGCCCAGAGCAGGAGAAGGAATGGGGGGGGGGGGGGTTTAGTCAGTAAGAGTCTTCTAATGACCATCTTATTCAGCTGGGGTCATGGAACATTCAGCCCCATCTCCTGTAGAAAAAGTACTTACTCATAGTAGGTCTTACAATCGTGCAGGGGAACAGGTCAGCACACTTGACAACTTCGTGCTCAGCTAAATGCTTCGTAAAAGTGTAGGTATTGGGATGACTTTTCAGGAGCCTGAAATAATTGAAATTAAGTAAATTATTTGTATGTTCGTTTCCGTTCACGGGATCACAGAATCCCGGACCTTTGGAAGGCGTACGAGGGGCCGAAGCCAACTCGCAGAGGCCCGTTGAACAACTTTAATATAAGTGAAATGGGACATCAGCCGGCAATTATCCCTATATGCACTATGAAAGAGCACCCAAGGATAATCCCCGGTTGATGCAGGACTATTGCGAAATGTGGTAATAATTCAAAGGGTTATGGGTATGAGTTGCTATGGACTGGTGAATATGATAACTATGGAACTACTATGGCCCCTGCCCCTGACCAATATTGATACATACGGATAAACAGGCAGGGGGTGACTGGCAAACTCAATTAATGGGCCCCCGGAAACGGCCGCTAGCATGTAGCGACACGGAGGCAACATACGTTGAGCTGCTTAGGGAAGGAGAGGTATCCCACGGCTATCAGAGCAATCCCGGAAGTACGGTCAAGACCCCTACCAGCACCTTACTGAGATTAAGTAAATTTATTATTATTATAATTAATAATGAGAACATTTAATGAAGCCTTCTTTACATAAGATTTATAGAAAAAGACAACGAGAAGACCGATCACTGATGGTAAGCAATCCGCGCCGCCTACACTCGCAAAATCATTGAGTTGCAAGTGGATAGGTATTAGAGAATTGCAGGATTTTGCCGGGGTTGCGGGGTAAGCGCAATGAGGCACCGCGACCTCGGCCCAGAGCAGGAGAAGGGACAGGGGGGTTTTTAGTCAGTAAGAGTCTGACACTCCCTCTCGCCCGACCCCGGGCGGGAGAAGTCATTTGATGTTTTTCCCCTCACAAAAAAAAGGGGATTGGGGATAGCTCAATCACACAACGCAAGATTCGTTTCACGCCAGATTTCTGTAAGGCCGTAGTATCACTCCGCTCCGATTAAGCCGAGTCTATCTCAGACTATTAGAAAGACTCGGTTTATCAGAGAATGCTACTTCCTTCTTTTAAATATACAATTGCTATTTCAGATTGTGATTTTATTTATTTGGAAATCAAGTCAAGTGGATTGGGTTCATTTTAAGTTATACGTTGTTGACTGGTTTACATTCTGTATAATTTATCTATGGTGATCCAAAAAGCTTGGATCGTTTTAGCGACATTTAAATAAAAATCAGTCATAGATTTTGGTTAGCGGTTAAAAAAAAAAAAAAAAAAAAAAAAAAAAAAAAAAAAAAAAAAAAAAAAAAAAAATCAGTCATACATTTTGGTTAGCACCCCCATATTGTGCCAACTGAAAATCAGTGTTGGGTGCTCTGTGCCCAGCTTTTGCTGAGTTGGCGACCCATTCGGATTGGGCATGTCCGCCAACCCAGGGTTGTATTAATGTACTTTGTTAGGCTGTTTTCACGTTATTGTTTTGATTAATTTTATTTTTATTTTATTTTGTTGTCCTGTTACTTCAAACTTTTATTGTTTTGTTTTTTTTATTGTTGCATTTTTTTTGTTTGTTCTTGGCCTTCATGTCTCGGTCTGAATAAAAACAGTTTTTTGTCTTTTCTTTTACATTAAAACAAAGGTCAAATTATCATATTTTTCATATGGTGTTTTATGGCAATGTGGCTTGGTTCCTTTTTGCGTACCGTAACTAAGTCCAGGTATAAAGAATACCTTCTAACTCATTTTATCTCTACCCTCTAAATATTTTGTACTTACTTAGGTTCAATTTCAAGTAAAGCCTCATCATTCAGGGTTCCGACTAAAGAAATCACCTTCTCAGGATCCTCTGGTGCTTCATAGATTTTCTCATGAGCCTCAGTCAAGTAGGAGTTTACGTATGCTGAAGATACGTGGATCATCACCTGTAGAAAGATTTGAAGATAAGTAGAAGAAGAGACGTAGTCACAGGGTCAAAACAGGACCAAAGAGCTCTAAGACCACCTCAGATGAGGAGGACAATGATCTAACAGGACTCTTACTGGCTATAAAAAAGTTTTTTGTCTTCTCGCTCCACCCAGGACTTATCACCATCATCATCAGCGTGATTTCGCGTCCATCCAGGGCTGCTGCATGGATATTCCACACCCAATAATAAGGAAGTCAAGGTTATTTCGGTTATTCAAAGCTCAAAATAGTTGACTATTTTAATAACAATTATCTATACTAATATTATAAAGAGGTAAAATTTTAAAGTTTGTAAGTTTGTATGTAAGGGGTAATCTTTGGAACCGCTGGTTGGATTGCCAAAATTCTTGCACTGATAGATAACTACAATGTTTCTAAGTGCTATAAAACATCACGCTACGATTAAATGGAGCCGAGCAGCGGGTGAAACCGCATGAAAGTAGCTAGTTTAATATAAAAAGACATTGTTTTTAGTTAACCATCCTTACTGATAAATCATAGTGTGGAATGTTTTGAAAGAAAAAAGAAAAAACCTTACCTTTAAATTCTTAGCATCCTTACACAGCTGCATAACTCTCCTAGTTCCAAGTAAATTAATATTGACTGTTGGTCTCAAGTTCTCTTGAAAGTCCAGGGTAGCAGCGGAATGAATCACCACATTGACATTATTAATGATAGTCTGACGGTCTTGGGGACTCATTCCTAGATTCTCTTCACCTACATCACCAGCTATGGGGATTAATTTATTGAATACATCTGTCGAGTTACTTTCTAGGAGTTTTTCGAAGACCTGAAAGGATAAAGTTGTTCATGAGATTTATAATCTGGAATTTCTCTCTCTTAATGTTAGTTAGATGTGCCCTTTGCCTGGTTTTCTGGCTGATAAAAAAGTTTAGAATAACAAAATTATGTTTTTAAAATACCAACTAAATTCTAATAATGTCAAATGTATAATAATAAATCAATCAATCAATGTGTTAAATTGTGGTTCTGTATATGAGTGTTTGAGGCAATAAAATAAATTGGAAATATGAGGCTAAAACAAAAGTGTGAGTTACATATAGCTTGCATTCATCGCAAAAAATAACAATTCTGTTTTCTGGACGTAATAAATACTTAATTCTTTTTTTGATTAACATTTGTTTTAATGTGAGGATAAAGTTTAATTTTATATTTTATCACCAAGCCTAATCAAAATAACATTTATTTCTTACTAAAACTAAATACAATGGATGTCATTAAAATTGATGTTTCTTTTATTACATGGAAATGAAAAAACAGTATCTGCTTTTTACATATACATTATGTAATAACAAAGAACATAGTTTCTGTGAAATAAAAACTTATTTGTCTGTTCTTTTTTTTGTAGCTATGATGCAATTGTTTCTGATACACTCTTCAATGCTAAGTCTTTAAGTATGTTTATGAGAGATATGTTGATAGCTTCTGAGACAGCATACAGTTTTCGATTAAGGTAATTAAGTCATTGACTGCCGACAGACTACTGTATAGGGCAAATCCTTCGCTAGCGTGGCCCATATAGTTGCTTAAGTTCTAAAATAGTGGTATTAAAAAAATTGTCTAAATGTTTCATGCATGTCTTTGGATAGCGAATCGAAAGACGCGTCAACTGACCAATCTCAGAAAAGCTATTAAACCAATGATGTCACGTTATTTTTAAGTGACCATCGCAAAGATGGAAAAACGTATACTTTTAGTGTTAATTACAAAATTGGACAGTTTTTTCAGTCTCCTGAAAAGTTCACTATTTTGGGCTATCTGGTGTTAGAATTTAAGTGACCATAAATTGTTCCTCATGTCATTTAACATGTTAAAGGATGTCATAGGCAAACTGTAAGTCACTAGAAGTGCTTACGGCAAGAGTTTCTTTAGTCTAGTATGACAGCTTATTTGCAAAAGATACAGGAAAACTTGAAGAGTTTTCATTACATGATGAACCAAATGCTCTACTGAATAGGTACACAATTTGAAGTTTAACAAAAGTTATTATAAAAAATCTTTATCATAACTAACTCTAATCATCGGAACAAGAGAGAACACAAATTATTGTTCTGGGCCTAAGTAAGGATGTGGAAATATGGGAGAATGGGAAAACCCCAATGTGAGGTTGTTTGTCTTATAAATCTTGTTAAATGTAGACATTGGACAAGCCTACAATAACTGGTGTCATATTCAGAAATTTTAAAATATTATAAGCTTAACAAAAAATAATGACCTCTTTGAATGTTTTAAGTATATAAGGAAGTCAAAATATTTGCTGACAAGATAAATATGCTATGATGGCATGACTCATAAATATATTATAATACTCTGACCCAAAAGATACTCACACTCACTGACCTTATAACAAAAATCATGCATGTCTTCTTTTATTTTTTAAAATTAAGGCTTTTTAATTTTAAACAGCTTTTTAGTTTGTTATGATTGATCAAATACTATTCTTAACATTTCATTTAGACATATTACACTTTTACTTACATAGGTACTTACTTTAACACTAATTTGTTAGGAAAGTTTATGATAACTAAAGTTCAAAACTTTTACTTACCGGGTTTTTGGGAAATTCTTGCAGTCTGTCGGCTATTTCTTTGCCTTTCTTAGGTCTCATTAGCAAGTAAATCTTACCAGAATCTGGTATACATCTTAAAATTTTCTCAATTAAACACAATCCAACGAATCCAGTTCCTCCAGTAATAAAAAAGTTTTTGCCCGCGTAAAACGAACGAACTTGCGATGGGTCAGCCATTTTGTGATTTTCACGATATTCTTATTTCAATTCCTGTAAATAAGTAAAAAAAGAGGTCCAGTTAGAAAGTTGATATTGGAAACTTCTTAGAAAAGTAGAAACTTTTTGCGCTCTTCGGATATGAGCGGAAAATGACAGTTTCGTTTCGTTTTTGCTTGTGACAAGAAGTGAGAACGATTTTATGTTGTTTGACTTGTTGCACTTTTAGCCTTGCAAAACATGACAACTTAGAGGAAAATTCTTGAGAAAAATGTTGATTATGCTGTATTGATTAAAAATTTTTATTACTCCATACTAGATTTTTAATAATAAACTTAGATTTAAAGGAAATAAAAGTGTGTTTTTAAAATAAAGAAAATAAAGTACACAAACATGAACGTGTTTTTCACAAGAGGTAATTTATGAGGAAAAAAATCGCTAATGATTGTTTTGGATAGTCTAAACTGACAAATCACTATTCATTAAATACATCAATGGCCAGTAAAAGTTATAAACAGATTGAGATAGTATTTTAATGACTCACAATTTTTTTCTGAATTGTAGAACTAAATTTATAAAACCGGTTTTATAATAATCATTTTGAGTTCTCAGAGTTCAATTGCTTTGTTTTGTACAAAAACCAGTTTAGCCGTAGTGGAAATCTTTTGTTTTTTATGGGAATTCTAGAAATTAGTTAACTGTGACAAAATAAAATCTATAATATTATGAATTTTATGCGAGGAATTTTTAATCCCAAGTCAGGCAAAGCACTATTGAATTTTCAAATTTTCATCAGTATTTTCTTATGAAATACATAGTTCGGTAGTTACGTACAGTAGATACCTGACGTTAAGCAATCTGAGCTACCAACATTATACCCGCAATACCACAGGAGGGATTGAGAATTGGGCCCCATTACTGAAGCTCTCAATACTCAATACTCAACTCGTCGAGCTCCTTTTTTTATATGGTCGAGGAATAAAATTAACTTTTAGTTAGTTATCATGTTGATAAAAAATAAAGGTCATGTTATTATCTCCTAATATGAAATCTTGATTTATTCCCGTAAAAATTTAATTAAAAAAAGAAATAATGACCATAAGCACTTAGCTTTCTTTCATTAATAATTATGTAAAGTTTAAACGTGTAAATAATACTCTTCGTAAACGTTGTAAGCCGGACTTACAAGCAGTATTACGTCATTAAAATCTTATTGCGAGTACATTCAATATGTCCAAACATATTATTTACACAAAAAACGAGTTTGTGTAAGTTCTTTTTATTATCATCACGCGTCTAGTAGGTGCCTAGGTTTACGTTTTTGTATTCTTAAAGGACGTAAAATTTATATTTTACTGACTATATTTTTGGATGATAAGCATTTAGAATTTGAAAATGATGCCTAGATTTACTTTTTTGTATTCTTAAAGGACGTAAAATTGATATTTTACTGTTTTTTTAGTGACTATATTTTTGGATGATAAGCATTTAGAATTTAAAAATTATAAGCACAGTTTTATGATAATTAATTTTCCTTAATCTTAGAAAACAGTGGTTTATGGCAACCCTAAAGTCTTAAAAGGCGTTTTTCAAGGCGAACAAGAGGCTGAATAAACAATCTACCTTGACGTAATGTGACTTAAGTCCAAATAAAAAAAGGAAAGGAATCTTCATTGACGCTTGTATCTTGTATATCTGTGCGATCTGTAATTATTGCTGACTAATTTTCAACCTTAACAGTCCAACTATAAAGTTCTTAAAATTAATTTTGCCGCCACTCGAGCTAAATACCATCATTAAAAATATCATTGATCAATATTGATCATTACACCTTGGACTGTAAGGTTCAAAATCATTACGTAATAATAATTACATTCATTCACACAAATTGAGCTATACGACCACAAAATGTTAGTTGTTGATTAATTATCAACTTTAAATGTCTGAAAATACGGATAAAATTCCAATCACTATCAGTCCAGTACCTATAAGCGACCTCTTTATAGGGATTTGCCGTAAGCTTCCTATCCTATTTATCATTTGGCAAGCGTGTAAGCGACTTAGTGGTCGTAGTATAAAAGATTCAGGTTTATCCGAGCTCTAACTACTCTACACACGCTTTCATCCGCTGCTTGGCTCCATTTGATCGTAGCGCGATGTTTTATAGCCTATAACACTCAGGAACATTGTAATTATCTATCAGTGAAAGAATTTTCGCAATCCCACCAGCGGTTCCAAAGATAAACCCCTACATACAAACTTACAAATTACTGTCTTTACGCGCGAAAGTATCTAGTCCAAAAATGCGAGAGTAACTTTGTCTGTCTGTCTGTTTTTTCTTCACGCCTAAACTACTGAACCGTTTTCTGTGTAATTTGGTACAGACATAGTTTGGAACTCAAGAAAGGACATAGGATAGTTTTTATACAAAAAATCTGCAGGAAGTAACTAACAACCTACCACGCGAACCAAGTCGCGGACAAAATGTAGTAAAAAATATGTAAACGAAATCCTATTACAAATGTTTTGATAGCCATTACTTAACTTTGAGAACAAATTTTCCACACATTAATAAATTTGACTTAGGTACTTACATCAGAATCGAACGCAACTCTACCTATCGAATATGGAAAATTACAAAGTTGTTATATTCCAAACATCTGTCGATATCTATAAAGACAGTTAGTTATCTATAGTTTTTTAAAGTTATTCGAACAGAGGTTTATAAATGCAAATTATGTTATGAACCCGTACCGAATCAAAAATACAACCTTTCGGCTTGTGGCTTTGCTTACCTACATATGTTTACAAGTATTTTATTTCAGCGTATTTATTTGCGTAATTTTTTGAAAAATTGAAATGCAGCGTAATTTTTTAAGCAGACGGATTACCTGCAATGCAATCAGCGCCGCCTATGGACACCCGCAACAACAGAGGAATTACGAGTGCGTGGCCGACCTTTTGCAGATTAAGGATTTGGAGATTTGGGAGTTAGAGGGAAGGATTGGGCCTCCGGTAACCTCACTTAGACGGCGAAACACAACGCTGTGGTTATTTCACGCCGGTTTTTTGTGTGGCCGTGGTATTACTCCTGTTAAGCCGACCTATTCGTGCCGGTGGAAAAGCCATTTTCCACACTTGCACATTGATTTCGTTGTTGCGTTTACAAACACATAATTCAAAAATTTCTCCTCTCTCCCGTAATTAATCTATGCTGTGCCTGACAGGGCCCTAAATTTTAGCAAGACATTATGTTTGGACTTCTTTCTCAGCGCTCTCCTACACTCCCCCCCTTTTTTTAAAGGAGAAAATCATCAAATGACTTCTCTCGCCAAGGGTGAGGCGTGAGAGTGTCAGACTTTTACTGACTAAAAACCCCCCTGTTCCTTTTCCTACTCCAGGCCAAGGCTGCGGTACCTTATTTGCTTGCCCCGCAACCCCGGCTGAACATCAGCCCTAAAGGGCCAAGTCTGTGGTGGTCTATTGGCTTACTGGCCGTACGCTCGGGTCTGGTATCATCTCTCGATCCCCAATGTCGCCTACTGCGGCGGCTGGGGCGGGAGGACGATAGTTCTCTCACGCGCTCTGCCTCCTCATTTGCGAGCATCACTGCTTCTCAGAAAGAGAAGACGGCTTCCCAGTTCCTCTCGCTACGAAACATGGCCTCGACTAAGGTCGGGCGCGAGAGGTGGCCGCCGCCGATCACCTCCATTGTGGTGGTCTACTGGCTCTTTGACTCCTGCTACATTCTCAAAGCGCGCTACTTGCCAGACAGCTTGTTACGAGTAATAGTGACTTTCAAATGTGTGTTGTCTGGCAGACACCAATACCAAGTAAGTAAAGGAAAAAGTAAAAGTCAGTAGTTATCAAAGAAGGTAAAAGTAAAATATATGTATACGAAAAAAAAAACTAGCTAGACGCAATTTTTTTTATGGAATAGGAGGCAAACGAGCTGACGGATCACCTGATGGTAAGAATCAACGACGCCCATGGACACCTGCAACACCAGAGGAGTAACAGGCACGTTGCCGGCCTTTTAAGAAAGAGTACGATCGTTTCTTGAAGGTTTGTAGGTCATATGGGTTCGGGAATACCGCCACCGGAAGATCATTCTAAAGTTTTGCTGTGCGGAGCAGAAACTCAGCAAAAATTACTCCCTGTCGCCTTATCCAGGGCGAGAGAATACATGTGCCTATTTTCCGTCCTCAAAAGCACATTCCTAAACCACTGACAAGTATCCTTAACCAGTTTTCGTCTTTAATCCATAATTAATAAAGCTGAAAATAACTGAAGGTTTCGGTATACCTGGATGCTTGCGCAGACATTAAAGGTCGTCGCCCTTAGCCTGTACGGATGCTTGAGAATCCTGCATATCTATAAGGTATAAGGTTATTGACCTATTAATTGCGCAAGAGTTGAACATAGGCCTATTATGCAAATGAGTTCGTGTGTTTAGTTTGAATGAATGATACGAATCGTTTGTTGACGGTAGAGTACGTTTTGTTTATTAAAACTCACGGAGTATATTTTAAACCGACTATCGCAGAGACAGAGAAGAGCAATGCTCTCTAATAAACCCTTCTTTGGGTAAAATAATTCAAAGGCTCCTCTCGACCCTGGGTGGGCGTCATAGAAAACCATGCGTGAAACAACCACAGCGTTTGTTTTCGTCGTGTGAGTGAGGTTACCGGAGGCCAGATCCTTCCTCCGTCCCCTACACCTTCCCAATCACTGAATGTCCAAAACCATAATCCCCAAAACTTCCGCAATGCACACATAACTCCTCAGGTGTTGCGGGTGTCTATATGCGGCGCCGATTGCTTACCATCAGGTAATCCGTATACTCGTTGGACACCATGGATACCTGCGGCACCAGAGGAGTCACAGGCGCGTTGCCGGCCTTTTAAGAAGGAGTAAGCTCGTTTCTTCAAGATTTTTGACTTGTTGACTTTGACTGCACGGTTGGCGCGGTGGCTGGGCAACATAAGTGGCTGCCGCGCAACGTGTCGCGGTTTTCCGCAAGGAACAACTCTTTGTGTGATCAACAAATTGTT